CCAAGTCAGCATTTTTATGAGCTAGAGCAGGGTTCAGCTGTGTTTCACTCTCCTGTAGGATGAAGGTGTTTGATATTGGTGTGTGGTGCTTGCTGATGCTGAGCCTTGACACTACTCTAAAAACAAAATAAGTGAAATCCAGCTTTATACCCTGGAGCTCGCTGATGGCTCTCAGCCGAAGTCAATAAAGTATCTGAGCATGTAGGGATTACTGTGCATTTGTCTCCTCTCTCAAAGGCAGGAGCCACTGAGAGGTTCGAGAAGAAAACTTACTGCTCACGGTTCGGAAGCCAAAGGAAGGTCTCGTGACCCGAGCTGTGGGTATCTGCGTCCAACACATCCTGCAGAGGAGGGGGTCGTGGGTGCCTTGATTTAAGATGACATGTGCATTTGCAGAAGGGAAAAATAATCTTTGTGCAGCTGAGATCAGGCAGTCTCCAGTATTTATCAGCTTCGCAGATCCTGCCCAGAATGCAAACTACTTGCTTTTGTTTGAGCCCCAGCAAATTGGGCTGCCCCTTTATAATTAGTTTGAGATAAGTCAGGACATGCTATTAAATGATTAGATGACCTTTCATCTGAGCAGGGATTTCAGCCCGTTTGATTCCTTCAGAATCAGCAGGAAAAAAGTTACTGGATTTCTAAAGGAGAAAAGGCAAAGCTGCCTGAGAGAGAGAGCAAGCTGGACTGAAAAATGTACAGAGCAGCAAAAATTCAGACATTTGGAGAAAGTATCCCAAATTAACAAGAACAAAAAAGCCTTCCAAAAAGGACACACTGTCTGAGTCCCCTGGACACCAGAAAACACCCAAATTCCAGCTCTCTATTTCCGTGCCAACTTACACCATGGTTGGGTGGGAAACAAAAGTGACTCCTGCAAGCGAGAGCTCAGTGAGTGATGCAGGGGAATAAGAAGGCAAATAGTTCCTGGCAGGTGATGGACTTTGTTTCTGCTTTTGGTGCTTAATCCACAGTGTGATGGAGAGTGCTTTGATCCTACAGAATAAGGTTTATCTCAGGGTTTTATCCTTGGTCAGGTTTGTGTGAGAGTATAAATGGTGCGTGTGCTTCCTACCCAAAGAGCAGGGTTCATCCCTGCACAGCCACGGTGTGGGTGGGAGTAGAAGACAAACTGGTCAAAGTCTAAGTCCCTCAGTTACGTTCCACTTATTGAGTCCCAGTATTACTTTTGTTTGTTTTGGTTTCTGAACATTAAATTGTGGTCTGAAATTTGAAATTCTTAATGTTTTCCCTGGGTCAGTTGGAAGCAGGTGAAAACAGTGATGACCAAGCTGCCTCAGGAGAGTGGCTCAGAGCCCTGCCAGCTCTTCCAGCTCCAGAGCTGCTGCTGGGTCCTTCTTCTCAAACTAAAGCTGGTCCCTTTGTCCCCCTGCTTTGGTTTTCAGACGCTATGGGAAAATCAGGTGAGCTTTGGGTGCTGTGCTGTGTTTCCATGCAGAGTCTTTGCCTGGTGGGAGCGTTGCCAGAGCTTGGCACGGCACAGAGGAGTCCTCCAGGTGCCCGGAGAAGCAATGCAGCTCTCTGCCCCACGGGATGCCCGGCTCCTGCCGGGGGCTTCCTCCTGGCTTCCCATCCCTGGGCTTTCCAGCTCTTCTCACCCCTATTTCTCATCGGGACAGTTCAAAGGGAGAGATTTAGTGTCCGCTTAGTGGAGGGTGAGATGCTCTGGCAATGGGGATGCAGCGGAGGAGGCTGGGGACATTCTCCAGGCAGTGCTGTGTGACACAGGGGTGGCAGGAGCAGTGTGACACGTCTGCCCTCGGGAGAGGCAGCGGCAGGAATCTCCTGGGTGCTGCATGGAAGTTAAGTGCAGTCAGGCTAACTGCTGAGTGCTTTTGTGATAAAAACAAACTGCACAGAGCGGAGAGGCAGCCCTGAGCACGTCTGCTCATGTGCTGCAGTTTTTAATAACTCCTACCTTAAAGAAAGGTCTTTCAAAGCCAAGAGTCAGTTTCCGCGCCTGTTAGTTTTTTAATACCCCCGAGGTCGATGGTCCTCGTTACTCCCTTCTAAATTAATGAGGTAGCTGGGGCTGTTGAGTGAAGACCGAGCTTGTCCCAGATTCAGATGAGAAGAGGCTGCCAGCGATGGTGACAATACAGGCGTTGCCATTGTCTGGGGCCCCATAAAGTGAGATCGAGCCCGGAGATGTTAAATGCGCATCCCATGTCCTGAATCACAAATGGAAGCTCCAAACCCTTTATGCCTTTAATGCAATAAAAGCAAAGGCAGCTGTATACAAACCATTTGGCAGCAGCTGAATGTTCAGGGTATCTGGGACTCTATTAAATCTTTTATGTGCCATGTCTTGAGCAATATCCTACCAGCTGATGCCTGCCTTCTGCTTCGCAAATCTGGCAGCGTCACATACAATTTTTTCTAATGGCTGTATTTAACCACTGAAAATTCCCTTTGTGCGGCGAGGGACCGCATTATGCAGAATGAGGACAAAGTAGTCTCTTCTTTTTGCTTTCTTGCATTGCTTCGCGTTGTAGATCTGCTTGAAAATGGACTGAGATTCATTTAAAAAACCACTCTGACTTGTTACTGAGTAGATGTTTACTCCATCCCCAGGAACGGATGCATGGATGGAGAAGCACAAAAAGGAAAAGGTTGGGGCACTGATGCAGCAGGTACCACGAGGACCTCATGCCCTGGGCCACCTCCTGCTCCTCCCAGGGGCCACCCCAGCACGTGGCGAGCCTTGGCGGGCAGAGGGACATCTCCATCGGTGCCCACGCTGGGGCTCTGTGCCAGAAAACAGGGAACAAGAATTTCCAGGGTGCCTGAAACTGGCACTGCTTTGTATGTAGGTGATGCTGTTTCATTTCAGAAAACTATTTATTATGACTACAGAGTACAAGAAGTTTTCATCATTTTCTCATTTATTATACTAAGTTTCCATTTTCCCTGCGGAGAAACAGAAGCAAATGACATAAATATAAAATGCAATGCCTGTTAAGATATTGCAAGTCACAACCTAAAAAAAAATAAATATATAGACATAAATGAGCTTCTAGCCATAATGTGGAATAAACTGACATCAGGAAGGAATGTTGTTCAGTGCCTGGATGGCTGTTTTCCAAAGGTTTGTTTTTAGAGAAGTTACATGACCATGTTTTAAAGGGATATCGTTAGGTCTTTTCTGCTGAAAGAATTTATGAAATATGAAGTTGTTTTTGCCGGTGGGTGTTGGGCTTGCCATTGCCACTGCAGGTGGAGGATGGGCAGCCAGCAGTGGGGGGGTCACTGGGGGGCTGAGCGGGGGTCTGGGGACCTTGAGCCCCCTCTGCCATGTCTGACCCGCTCCCGCTCCCCCATGTGTGGCTCTGCCATCGGTGCCACCCTCTGGGCACGGTCCAAGGGCCACCTGGAGAAAATTGCTCTGGTCAAGCTGCCCCAGCAGTGAGCGAGCCTTTAACGTCAGGTCTGAGCTGTGCCTGGAGTTATTTCAATACATAATTTTCCGTCCTTACCATAATTGCAGTGACGATGGCAGAATTATCCCCGTAATTTCAGTGCACATCACTAATTGGGATGTTTTTATCAGGCTAACGATAACCAACTATTATTTTGTCACCTTCTTGCTGTAATGTGTCCTTGATGACACTATACTGTGCGCCATTAGCACTTGCAAAATGGTTATTAATGGCACCATTTTAGAAGTGCGGGAGGGTTCGGTGGCTCCCGTCTGTTTTCTGCCATCCATGGAACTCCCTGTCCTTGCTCCTCCTGCGTAAGTGTGACCCCCTCTCCGAGGAGCTGCGTGAAGCCACCCCCAGGTCACCCTCCCTGCGCCGCGCCGGAGGAAGGCTGCATGACCAAAATGCCAAATTACTGATTTTTCAAAGAAAATACATCCAGCGCATTCTAATCGTAGGCAAGTCTGATAATTAACAGAGGATAAATGTAATTATACCAGATGTAGAGATTTCATTAGTTCATTTTAAAATAGTTACCTTGATAACTAATTATCTCTTTTAAATATAGTTACCTTGGTAATTAAGGTGCCGTTGGTGTCAGAGGCGGCACACTGGTGCTGGCTGGGGATGCTGTGCCAGCCCGGTGGCTGTGCCCGTCGGGGGAGCGGGTGCCGTGGCCGGGGATGGGTTCCCTGCCGGTGCCCGGGGCTGCGGGCGCTGGGAGCTGTGAGTGGTGCTGGGACACTGAGGTTTCGCCTGGGGACCCCCATGGCCTCCTGATGGCCCAGCTGGGAGAAGGGGCTGTGGGGTGGGGAGCAGACCAGGCAGGGACCAGCCAGCGACAGGAACGGGCCAGTGGCCACCAGCTTGGTCCACAGCATGGCCTGTGCCGGGGAAGGACCTGTCTCCATTGGCCATAGCATGGTCCTGCAGGAGGGTGGGAGCCTGGGCTGGGAGCACTGGAGGGGCTCGGGGGGTCTGGGTCTTGCAAGGATGGAGTGCTGCTGTGCTCCCAGGGGCATGCTCTTTGCGGTTGCTTTTAACAAATGTACATTTTAGTCACTTTCTGCTAAAAGAAATCAGAGTATTTTGGCCTTTCTGAGCACAGCTATGCACGCGATAGGTTCAACCCGGTCTTCTGGAGGTTGTGAGCAGGATGGAGTCCAGGCTGGAGAGAAGCCCCATGGTTGCCTGAATCCGGTCTCCGTGGGGGGTGAGCGAGCAGAACGCCCTCTCCCACAGCTCCCAGACACCGCTCCCGGCGGGAGGGAAAGCTCTCCCCGCAGCCGGGCGTCATGTCCTGGGGGAACCTCTTGTGTGGGTGCACAGTGACAGGCACCCTGTGGGGGGGTGCAGCGCCCAGGGACACTGTGCCGTGGGCAGGGAGGCTTGGGAGGGAGATCCCAGGAGATCTCTGAGATCCCAAGTCACAGCCCAGGGATCAGGACGTGGGATGGAAGTGCTGAGTGGTTTGGGTCTCAGCCCAGTAAAGCGGCGAACGAGGATATGGAACATTTCACTGAATCTCTTTGTCCCTTCCCTTGGGCGGTACTTTAGGTGTGTATTGTGCAGAAGAGGGACACCGAGAAGATGTATGCCATGAAATACATGAACAAACAGCAGTGCATTGAAAGAGATGAGGTTCGCAACGTGTTCAGGGAGCTGGAAATCCTGCAGGAGATCGAGCACGTGTTCCTGGTGAACCTCTGGTGAGTGTCCTCTCCCCTCTGCCTGCCCCCAGGTCCTCGCAGAGCCCCGTCCTCTGGAGTCAGGGACATCTGTGGGAGCATCCTAGTGAGCTGCTACGATCCATGTCCCTGATAATGTGAAAGTGGTCAGGAGACAGAGCACAGACGATACCTGAACCTTACAGCATCAAACATTTTAAAACACCTTAGCCTCTCGTTTTCCATCAAAACCTGTATGTGCGTGTTGGGTGTTTTTCACAGTCTCCTTGCAAATACACTATCAGGTCCCTCCTGAGGGACCCCCGGCCAATTTAACCATGAAGTATTTTAGTTCCATGGGTGCTGGGGGGCAGGTTGAGTCAGGTGTCTTGAGGCAGTCACTGGTAGAGAAATAGTCCATCCATGTGTGTGGAGGCACTGAAATCCGTGACAGTCTGTGGTGAATCGGATACTGTTTGGGGCCAATTTTTCTAGCAAACAACAGCTTGAAAAATCAAAGAAACTAGAATTTTTAGAGATGATGATTAATAACTTTTATTAATAGAAAAATGATTCAAAGTGTATAATGTTTTACACAGTATTTGGTCCCTCGGTACTGCGTATAATTTTTTACTCTATCTAAACAGGATATGTTTCAAAAGCATTACCAACTACAGCTATTTGTTAAATTTCAGCCTGATTTGAGGAGATTTTTTTAAAAATTAGACACTAAAACATTACTCAGTAACTTGGCAGTGCTGAGGTAATGGTTGGACTTGATGATCTTAAAGGTCTTTTCTAACATAAGTGATTCTAGGATTCTATGAAATACTTTTTTTTCCAACAAGTAATGAAATTCATAGGAAGTGTTGCTCTCTTAGCAAATTTTTCCCTTTCAGCTGGTACTTTTAGAATAAGCCTACATTTTAGATGAGAGCAGAAGTGTGTGATTCATAAGTATTATACAATCCCACATACTCTTTCCTCAGAAATGCTGTCGCCAAATATAACAATTGAGCGTTGTTTTGGAGTGTAATCCTCACTGCTATCCATCTCCTGTGGGATCCACCCCAGATTTAGAGAGGCGTTTTACTCCATAGTAAATATAAATCTCTTTTTCTGGTTTTTATGGTTAAATTAGCACTTGTGTTTTCCAACTCTTTTTTCAGGATCGGCGGAGGTATTTTAAGTATAGGTTTGTCAGAGTGTTCTCAGTTGAAAATGTGAAGTTTCTCTGGAGGGACGGGCAAGGAAGCCCCGAGCTCTGCCTGGGCTCTGCAGGAGGTGGCAGTGGCGGCGTGAGAGGGGGTTAATGAGGATAATTACTCCTTCAGAGGACGTGTGGCTTAGGGTAGCAATGGGTTAAAAAGCAAGACGGCATCTTGAGCTGTGCTTGCTTCATTAGAGAGGTGTAAGCAGTGAAGTGGGCAGCTGCTGGTAGTGGTGTTGGCGGTTTTCACAGGAATCACAGAATCATGGAATCACAGAATGGTTTGGGTTGGAAGGGACCTTAGAGCCCATCCAGTGCCACCCCCTGCCCTGGGCAGGGACATCTCCCACCAGACCAGGTTGCTCCAAGCCCCGTCCAGCCTGGCCTTGGAGCTGTGTAATTTGGAGCGGGAAGAAGCCTGGCCTGTGCCTCCCCTGCTCGCTCACGCAGTGCCGACCCGCAGGTACTCCTTCCAGGACGAGGAGGACATGTTCATGGTGGTGGACTTGCTTCTCGGTGGCGACCTGCGCTATCATCTGCAGCAGAATGTCCAGTTTACGGAAGAAACAGTCAAACTCTACATCTGTGAGATGGCGCTGGCTCTGGACTACCTGCGAAGCCAGCACATCATCCACAGGTAACGGCGCTGGGGACCTGCTGGTCGAGGGAGCCCCACGTGTCCCTGGGGGCTGACAGCCTCCCCCAGGATGGGTTTCCAAACAGTGGAGGGCTTCACAGAAATAGGCCTGGTCTTGTGTTGTAAATTTTACGTGGAAATGGGCCTGAATAAGTCTGATGCTCCCAGTTTTTTCCCAGTTACCCAGGAAAAGCATATATCTAGTCCATCATAAAGGGACATGTCTCACGCTGGGGTGTTTTTGTTTTATACCATTCTAACTTTTGGTAGATAAAAAAGTTGCAGGTTGCATCCTTGATCTGCCTGAGATTTCATTTTGCTGTAACCTTGCTTCTTTACAGAGATGTGAAGCCAGACAACATCCTCCTCGATGAGCAAGGTAGGACCTCCCTGCCTTGCTTTGCCTGCCTCCTTCATCCGAGGGACAGAGTGTTGAATACTGTGGGTCTTTTTATCTGGAAAAGGTGTGGAAAGGGCACTGCTCCTTCCATAGGCTGGTGTTTGGTCGGATGTACCTGTGCATTGTAATGCCAGGGAAGATCCACCACGGGCAGCCGCTCTCCTGGTTGCCCCCATCTCGCTTTGCCCCCATGCTGCCTTCTCCCTCCCTGGTGCCCCCATGCCCCCAGATCCCGACCTGCCCGTGCTACACCATCCAAAAGCAGGATCTTGTGGAAAGGAATGTGTTCTGACTCTGCACTGACAATGTTCTGCACTGCCATTAATTCCTTCTTAAAATGTGTCTTTCTTTAAGGTCATGCACATTTAACAGATTTTAATATTGCAACAATAATTAGGGATGGTGAAAGAGCAACTGCATTAGCTGGAACAAAGCCATACATGGGTAAGAAATAAGAGCTGCTCCTTACGTCTGTATTTCACATTTCAGTGTGCTCACCGCATGCTGCCTGACAGTCCCTGGCTGTGACAAAGGCGCTGAATTAATTTACCACATTAATGCATGCGCCCAGCTCATCCAGCAGAGCCTAATTGTTTGAAAAGTGAAACTCCTGGGGCGAGCAAACCGTTGCCAGCACCCGCTCCCCATCCCGCCCTGCCCTCCCCGCTGGCTCTGGCTGGGACCTGCTGCGGTTCCTGCCGCGGTTCCTGCCATCCCTTGCCCGACTAGGGGGGCTCTCCCCATCTGTACCCCAGATCCCAGCTGCCCCATAACCCCTGCTGCTGCTCCCGCTGTTCTCCCCCGGCTCACAAAGCCTCCCCTCGGGCATTACTCCATGAGAATAACCATAAGGCTCACGTACACACTTACCTGAAAGACTGAAACAGAAGCGAACTGGTCAGAGAATAACCTGTTGCGTTTGCCCTTTCTCTTCAGCCCCGGAGATTTTCCATTCCTTCATGAATGGCGGGACGGGCTACTCCTTCGAGGTTGACTGGTGGTCACTGGGAATCATGGCTTATGAGCTGCTGCGGGGCTGGGTAGGGCTCCCGGCCGGTCCAGGGTCTAAGAACCCGCTTTCTGAATGACTGCAGAGGGGAAAGGGAATGTCTTCTCATCTGTCTGTTTTTCCCCCCAGAGGCCGTATGACATCCACTCCAACAACCCCGTGGAGTCTTTGATTCAGCTCTTCAGTACAGTCAGCGTTCAGTACTCCTCTACGTGGTCAAAAGAGATGGTTGCGCTGTTAAGAAAGGTGAGTCGTCCTGCTGGCGTGGTTTACATTGTGCATTAGCTGCAGTGCATGTGGGACTCGCTGGAAAATGTTCAACTACTAATAAATAATGTAAAATTGAAATAGGACTAATTTTTATTACTTTGTTCAGGCTTAAGCACAGATTAATCTTGTGTTTTGTTTATTATAACACATTCTATGTTATTATTATTATGCAGGTTTTATGTATTCTGTGTGATTCTATGCTACCTTAGCTGCTCCCTCTCACCAGTTCTGCCGGGCTGAAGGCTCTGGTTCGGTGTGTTTGGTTGTGAGAACTGTCTGGGGGGGTTCTGTACCTGTGGATGCTCTGCTGCTTTCCGTGTTCTGCACCACAAAGTTGCTGGTTTGGCGTGGAGGCTGCGGTTGCAGCTTCTGCCTGCTTGGGAACTCAGAAAAGTTGCTGATGGGTGTGCTATAAAAAAGCTGTACACATTACTGACAGCAGATCAGTGACGCCAGTGTAAGTTAATGTTGGGTGGACAATGGACATAATTAGATTTTGTTTTGATGAGAAGCAGCATTGTTAGTTACGGCTGTGGCGCAGCATTCAGCGGGTTCACATTGCCATCTGCTGGGCTGCAGTTGGGCTTCTAGAGGCTGGAAAGGAATTAAACGTCTCACCAGGAACATGGAAGATAACTTTATATTATGAAGAAGTGCCTGAAAAGTTCCCCAGGCGGCAGCTGCTGGCCGAGGTGGTCTTTTCCCCGCACCCTTCTCAAGCGTCCCCATGCTGGGGTGGGCTGTAGGCACTGTGACCATCACCTGCTCACATAGCTGCCTTGGCACTGGGAGGATGCTTACTGCTGTCTTTATCTTCTGCAAAAAGGTTGTAGCCACCTATAATTAGTGTGCCTAGAATTATGCTGCCGTTTTTTAAAGGTTTCACAATCTCCACAACATCTTTCTAATGTGCTTTTTTTCTGTCATCTGTTGGGTATTTCCCATGGCAGGAGGGTCGCTGTGAGTCACCCTGAAGGCAGGGTGCTGCGGGGTCCTGCTCTGACGGGAACGCTTTTCTCTCCCCAGCTGCTGACGGTGAACCCCGAGCATCGCTTTTCCTGCCTGGCCGACATCCAGGCCTCGGCATATTTGTCTGGCGTGGTCTGGAGCGACGTCAGCGAGAAGCGGGTAGCACCGGGCTTCGTCCCCAACGTGAGTAGGAGCCACCTGTGTCCCCACTTCTCCTCGTTAGAGGAACCACTGCATCCAGCAGAGGCTTTTCTGACAGAGAATTGGTTTCTGAGTGTATTTGCTGGGAGAGTCTCTGCCGTCCCTGACGCGGTGTCTGTCCTGTGTCCCCGCAGAAGGGCCGCCTGCACTGCGACCCCACCTTTGAGCTGGAGGAGATGATTCTGGAGTCGAGGCCCTTGCACAAGAAGAAGAAGAGGCTGGCGAAGAACAAGTCAAGGGATAACAGCAAAGACAGCTCACAGTCCGTAAGTGGTTTCTGGGATAATGGCCGGCCAGGAAAAAAGGCTGCGCTGCTGAATTTGGGGGAGTAGAGCGGTAGTTACTGCAACAATGCAGGTTTATTTTGATAAAAACATTTGCCCAATGGAGTCTTCCCAACAATGTCTTATGTAAGTTGGATAAAACTCTTTCACAGTAATCTGTACTTCAGAAAATGAAATGAGAAACAGAGACCTGGGCACAACGGTCAAGAGAAAAAATTAAAAAAACATATACACATCCTTATGATGTTCACCGTTGCGAGAGGCACTGCCCGTGTCTGTGCTGGGATGGGATCACACAGGAGCAGTGTCTCCAAGCACTGGCAATGGCCACGCAGAATCATCCCACCAGTCCATCCCAGTTTTGAGGAACTGTCCCCCGTTTTCCCTGACCACACGAGCTCTGCCGGCTCCTGCACCAGGCGAGCTCTGGCTGCGCTGCCAGGGGGCCCGGCACACGAGCGTGGGAGAGGTGTGTCAGCGAGCGTGTTCTGCAGAGAGAGAGCCGTTCGCCAGGACATCAAGGTAGAGATGCGAGGCCTTTGTGTGTCTTTTCACTGTGGGAGTCACGGTGCCTTCATATCGCTGGGGAGATAAATACAAGCTTGTTCTTACAGAGCAGACGTCCCAGGAGTAAACCAGCTCCTGCGGGGAAGCCGGTACTCCGTTCTGCAGCACCCAGGGGACTGTGAGGGCTGTGTGGGGTACGGTGGTGTGTGGGGAGGCCGGTGAGAGCAAATGCGTGTCCCCCAGTGTCCCTGCTTGCCCTGCACAGTGCCTCTGAGCTGCCCAAATCCCAGACTCGGGGAGCAAACGTTGCTCCCCCAGGTGAGGCCTGGTCCGAGGGCAGAGGGAGCGCCGGGCGGGATTCCACCTGTCTCCTTGTCTGCGCCAATTAACTGCAATGGATCCCGTCCCTCTTCAGCAGGAGCTAATGCTGCGATCAATGAGACTTACTGTAAGTGCTGAAGAAGAAATTGGGAAGTGAGGGAGGAAAAAACCAGAATAAGCAAATTTGCAAATACCTCTTGGAGGCTTTGCTGCCAAGAGAGCGCGGGGCACTGTGCCTGCCCGCACCCACGGCCTTGGCCAGGCTCCCGTCCCTCCCCGCGGCCATGGCCCTGGCTGGGGGCACAGCGCCGGGCCAGACGTGCCTGGGCAGGAGATGGGCATCTCTGCTCGGGCTGGAGGTAGAGTCTGGCTTCAGAGGAGGCCTCTGCACCTGGACAGAGGTGATGCAGGAGGTGAAATAAAGACAGAAATGGGAAGTGTGGGCTGCCCCTGCTCCTGTGTTTCCCTCCTGCCCAGCGCCCGGGGACAGCCGTCTGTGGGACAAGGTGCCACTTGCTGCCTTGCTCCTGCAAGGGCTCCCAGGCACAGGCTTTGTGCTGGTCTCTCCCATGGGCAGATCTCACTCCCAAAACCAGAATACACAGATTATTGTGTATTATCTCCATTTATTTGGAAAATGGTGGGCTGTCTGCGTTTTATGGAGAGCTCTGCTCGCTGCAGCTGAAACAGGCTACAGGTGAAGGCCGTCAAAGCAGTCGGCTGCTGTTTCCATCCTGTGTTTGGGCTGAGGCTGCTGGTGGCCGGGAGGCTCCGTGGTGCAGCTGGAAGCGCCGTGACGCTGGAGGCAGCAATGCCGGGCAAACGGGGCTGCTAAAGCCTGTGTTGTTTTTCCTCAACAGGAAAATGACTATCTCCAAGAATGCCTTGAAGCCATCCAGCAAGACTTTGTCATCTTTAACAGAGAGAAGTGAGTGTGTGGGGTATTGTTTTTTAAGGAAAAAATGCTCTTTTTCCTGACTTCCCTTAGGAATCATAGTGCCAGTGCCTGACATCTCGCTGCCGGCTCAGCCCTGGGTGACTGCTGTCAGCCGAGGAGCTCAGGTGCTGCCTCTGTATGAACAGCAGTTCTCACCAGAAAGGGAGATAAGATCAGAGATTATTAATCACTGCCATCAAACAAAATATGCTGCAGGGACAATTCTGGGATTTAACACATGTATGTGACACTGCCTCAGCTCCCTCATTGCATCTTCTCATCCATCCTGCTTTTAGAGGATGATGCTTTGGAAGATGAAGGGCAAGGAAGGTGCTGAAATCTCTGCGGGTACTGAGCAGGCAGGAAAAGTGTTGGAGTTGAGCAGGTGCTTTGCCCCGTGCTGGCGTGCACTGACACGGTGACGTGTGGTTCCTCGGTGAAACAGGAGACCCCCCCGGGGGAGGCAGTGGGTGGGGGGGCACAGGGACTTTCTGGCTGAGGTCTGGGTGGGCAGCGCTCCCAAAAGCTGAACCCTTGGAGGTCAGTGTGGAATATTTCAGAGCACTTCACTGTGCTTTGCTGACACATCAATCCCTGTCATGACCCTCTCTGTGCTCTGTGTGTCCTCTCCTTTACCGTGGGTGTGCTGTAGGCAGCTCATGCGGAGTGGTACCTGGGTAGCCTGGGGCACGCTGGCCACTGCAGGCCACCTTCACACCGCTCCTGTGGGGCGTTGGATCCGGGGATGACCCTGTAACGCCTGGTCCCTCTGCTCTGCACAGGCTAAAGAGGAGCCAAGAGCCGCCGAGCGAGTCCGTGTCCCCCCCTGAGACCACCGACGAAGCCGAGACGGAGGCTGAGTCCGAGACCTCCAACTTGAACATGTGCGGTTCCGTCTGCTCCTCGGCGGGCAGCAGTTAGGCTGCAGCCACCCGGCGAGGGCCACTGGCCCGTGCCGCCCCGAAAACCCGTTCTCAGGTCGCGGTGAGCACCACAGGCTGTCCTCCGGTGCCACCGGAGATGCCACTGACAACGTCCTGCCAAGCTGTAGCAAAACAGATAGTTCTTACAGAACTGCCTTCCTGGGTTTAACGGCTCGCCAGTTTGGCGCACTGGTTGCCTGTTGTGGGTAAAGATACTTGCTATGCAACTTGTCGAGGGAGGTAGATCAACTTCTGTACTTGTTCTTTTTTAATGTCAGATTGCTGATCTGCACATGTTTTTAATACCGTAAGGTGACAAGAGAACAAGTTACGTCCTTGGGTCCGAGGGAAGGCACCGCGCGGGTGCGGAGGGGGAGGAAGGCTGAATAAAAAGGTGGTTTGAATTTCACTTTGCCGCTCCTTGCTCGTGAAGGCTGCTGCGGGGACAAGCAGTCCCCGTGGACGTGGGACCAGCCCCGGGTTCCTCTGGGCTGCGGCGGTGGCACCAGCTCCTGGGAGCCTCCAGCGTGAGGACATCCCAGGCATGTCCTTGTCCTCATCACCTGTCACAATTCCTTTCCCAACTCGGGGCAAATAAATGTTCTTTTGTGCACTCCATGGATTCTCTGGGGCTGGGTAATGATTAACCACGTAATTGAAATGCAGAATGTATTTAAAATACTCACTTTCCTCACCGAGCTGCTGCGAGCGGCCAGGGGCTGTGTGACGGACCCGAGGGGCTGGTGCTGTCTGTCCCTCTGCAGGACATGGTGTGTCACAGGTTCAGGTTTTATTGGAGGCCACGTGGGTGGCTTTGCCATGCTGCTCGGTTCTGAGAGGGGAATAGCTCATTCCACCCTTTGATTTACTTTATTTTCAGTGTAAAGTAGAAGTACTGTATATAATTTACCAATACCTGTTTTAACTCCTTACTGAGACGGGAGATCTCTCTACCTGTGTCCAGCTGTGGATGTTGCCTTTCTTCTTGTTTCAGAAGCCTTCACTATATTAGTTGCTTAATCTGCTGTAGAGTGGCTTTTGGTTACTATTGCTGAAAACAAGCCATGGGTCCTGCTGCAGCATCCGGCTGCTGTGGTACGGGGGTTCCTTGGAACTGCATTCGCCTTCAAACCATCGACATCTCTTTGCTGCCAGACGTCAGGAGAGCGCAGGGTTTGCATCCTTACTCTATATTTCTAAGGCAAAAATGGATCAAAAATGTTTTTAACAGATGCAGGCTCTTTCAGAACAAATTTTGCTGCTTTTTTGGGTTTGGTGAATAAAATTGAAAGGCACGACTGGTATGAAACAATTTTATACAATAAAAGTGACACGGCACATTTATTTTCCACAGTTTTATGTGGACATTAGTATGTGGCTAAAATTGTGCAGAACCAGATTTCCATGGAAGCCTTCAAAAGAAGTGTTTGGGTGTGGGGGCACAGGTGGTGTGGAGCAGGAGATCTGAGATGAGTGCTCTCTCCTGCGCCTTTCCCCGGCTCTGACCCCCTGCCCTCCCCCTGCCAAACTCCCCGATTACTGGTGCCAGAGTCACCTCGTTACCCTGATCACCTAATTAGCTTCTCATCAGAGCACTCTGATAACTCTGCTGCCACGAGAGACCCACCTCTTGGCCTGATGGGGCTCAGGTGGGGCAGGAGAAGCAGCAGGAGGGTCAAAACCGAGTATTTAATCAGGAATTAAAAGTTACGGATTATTTACTCCACTGCTGTGGGTAGGTTTTTTCAGTAAGATCCATCTCACTGTTTATCATCTTTCTGTAAATAATGGCAAAAGTTTGGACTGTCAGAAGGTCAAGTAACATCCCTTATTTTTGGACCAAAATGTCCCATATGTGAGATGCAGATAGATCCTATTCTGCAGAAGCTCTGGGGCCAGGAGAGGTGTTGGCAGTTTGGTGGGACGTGTCTGATCAGGTGTTTCCATCCCTTCCCCTGGGACAAGTGACACGCGGCCCTTGAGGTCGAGGTTGGGGTGTGGGGAGGAGCTGGCTCACTGCTGGAACCGATGTTTCTCACCCCAAACCCTCTCCGTGTCGGTCATTTCTGTTCTTCCCGGGTCTATTGTACAAAGAGCCCTCGGCAGCGCTCGGCAGGGACCGGGAGCCAGCGATGGCTCCGTCCCGGGGAGGGAACTCGGGGCTGCCTGGGAAGCACCGCTGAAATCCAGAGCATGTTCCCAGGGAAAACCCTGCTTTTGCCTCAATCTCCTGCCAAACCCGAGTCACTGAGAGGGGACGGGACAGGGACCTCGGGGGGTGCTGTGCTGAGTAGCAGAGACACCAATTGTCAGCCTTTGGTGAGGCACGGGTGTAACCTCCCTGGTGCCCACTGGGAACTGGGTTTTATTGACCCTGTTTGTGCCCGGTCCCTGGAGAAGGAATGACAAGAAAAGAGTAACTGGAAAATTGGAAAACGCTAAGAAATGGATACATGTTGGCTTCATTGTCAAAATCCCCACGATGGGTTTCAGTAGACGAGGCCCCTTTTGTGCCGTGGCCCCATCTTGGGTGCGAGGGGCTGTTCTGTGCGACAGGGCCGGGTCCTGGGGGGAACACGTGGTGCCGAAATTCCCTGAGCCCCCCCCCTCCCGGGTTACTCTCTCCCCTGCGTTAGAGCCTGGGGCGGCTCCAGACGGGAGCAGAACTCACAGTGAAAAGTCGTGAAATGCTCCCGGTACCAAACCCCCTCGCGCAGCGTCAGCAGCAGCTCTCGTTTACATCCCCACTGCAACCCCAGTACAATAACTTTCTGTAGATAAATATTTAAATACATGTATTTTTTGTATGACAGATTTATACAGGGCGTGTCATTATTCGCTGTGAAAAGTCTACATCGCCTATAAATTATTCTCCTTAAAATTCCTTGCCATTAGATTGTTTTCTTATCTCTGTTGTATTATGAAGTTTTGCGAAGTTGCATATTTTTAAGTGTTTCCATTGAATTCCACAGACTTCACTGGGAATTTTGCATAGAAAACAAATGCCAGATCAGGTCCTGATGTTTCTTCTGTTGCCAATTTTTTATTACTCTACACCTTGCCAAAAAGAGAATAAGAGTAATAAAGTAATAGTAAAAAGGCCAATAATATGAACATTGACATTGGACAGTGCTGAAATCCCGATGCCTTGGTAGGGTATTTTTAAAAACTATTTCAGTGGAAATATATGTAAAGTATATCTTTGTATTTTATGTTAATACATTTCTGTAATTTTATTGCATGAAAACTTGACCATGTCACAGAATATTTAAGTTATGACAAGTTTGTGTTTTTGCAGATACTGCGAGAAGCCATTGCATATGTGGAGTAATAAATGTGTATTTTTAACATTGCCAAGTATTTGTTGTCGTTTCTAGGTTATTGACCTGTAGAAAAACAAACCCAACAGCTGAATCTTGCAACAGGTGAAAGCTATAATTACATTTCTTGTTTGCACCTCCCAGGCTGGAGCTGTTTAGCACCATCCAAATTACAGGGGTGGGTGTCCCGGCCAGAAGCCCCCAGCCTGCCGTGTGCCCTGTTGGCTCCTGCCGGAGCGCCCTGCCCAGCAGCTGCCGGGAGTCACAGCCCGTGGTGAGTGGGTCAATAGCCCAAGTATTTTTTTTGTTGTTTTCTGCAAATTGTGTGGTGTGATGCGGTGCATCGAGGCACTGAAAGCTTTTAGAAGGCCCAGCGGCCCCCGGTGGGACGCTCCCCGTCAGCACAGAGCCAGGGCTGGGAGCTGCAGGAACCGGGAGACTCCTTAAAAACTGCAAAATGGCTTAAAAGGGGATCAGGTGAATCCAGTCACTTCACAGCCTCCCAGTGTCAGAGGGCATTTGTGATTCCCTGGGGAGAGTTTGTCTGTTCAGCGGTGGGGCCGAGGGCCCTTTGGAGGGTGGCTCTGGGGTCTGGGCGAGGATGAGGAGCGCCCTGGCCGTGGCCACCGGCCGGGGTTGTCCCTGGCGGTGGCGTCCCCTGCCCGGGGGACCCACTCCAAGTCATGGGGTCTGTAAGGGACTGTGCTGGGTTAGTGCCCGGGCTGGGACGGGAGAGCGGGGTGACGTGTGCCGGGATGCACCCGCGCAGGGGACACGGCACGGTCCCTGTGCCCAGCACCCACCATCGGGGCACCGACATTTCAGTATTTCACTGCACAACCCTGGATTTTGTGTCTTAAACTCAGTAAAAATGGCCCTGGGGATTGTCAGAAGGTCTCTGCTTTTTCTCTTTCATCCCTCATCAGTACTTGGAATTATTTATGATGGTTGTTGGCGCACTGTGCTGGTTTGCGTTATCGGTGTAGAAGGCATCTACAAAGGCTCTTCCTGACTTCAAAAGAAGTGGTAAGGGAATGAGACAAATCGATATATAGGCCTGAACTTGTCTCTCTCTTCAGATGCCTTCGCTGGCAATTGGCAGCCCTGTGTCTTGGCAGGGCTGTGTCTGTAAAGGGTCCCCTTTGTGTGTCCCCAAAGGCCTGAGGGCACCCGGTGAGCCGGGTCACTCAACCCTTTGCTCAGGGCGGGGAGAAGGTGAAGGTAAAGGGGTGAGGACAATCACAGAACCATAGGGTGGGCAGGGACCTCTGGAGACACCCCCCAGTCCAACCCCCTGCCAGGGCACCGGCCCTTGATCAAGGGCATGGAGCGTCTCCCCGCTCCCTTCGCCTGCGTCTGCCTGACCCAGAGCCTGCAGGAAAACTGTCCAAAGGAATTAGGGCCAAAGAGAGAGAGTGTGTTTGTGCCCTGGGTGGTTTCGTTTCCTGGCAGCTCACTATCAGGAGGCTGGCTCTGCTCAGCATCTCCCAGTGCTGGGGGGAGCTTCAGAAATGCTCCCAGCCCCATGCTACACAGAAGTGGGGGCTCTGCACTGGCTGGGACCCCACCTCAGGGAGGGAGGGATGGATGGATGGATGGCCGCCTCCCTGAAAGAGGGAAAGCCTCCCTTCTAAGGAGCAGGACCAGCAGGAGCTCAGTCCTCAGCAGGGAGGGACCAAAACCCCTTCTGCAGGGCGATGCTGGGAGAGGGGACAGTGTCTCCATCTCCTGCCGGGTCCCTGCTGTCCCGAGGTACCTCTCACTAACGAGCCTGGTGGCTGGAGAAAGGGATATTCCTAGGATGGAGAACACTGAACTCCCCTTGCTACACACTACTGAGCTGCTGGGGGTGCCCCATCACCCCGTGGCTGCCTGGGCAGCCGGGAGAGGTCACTGCCAGCAGGCTGTGACTTTCATCTTTCCCACTCCTGATGCAGTTTCCACTGCCATCACTTTAAAATTCTATGCAGGAAGTTAAGTAAATAGTTGACTTTGTGCAGTTGCAGGAAAAATGAAAAGAAATAATTTCTTTAAAATTAAATATAAAATATATGAACAAATGTGTTTCCATATATCATAGAATCACAGAATGGTTTGGGTTGGAAGGGACCTTAAAGCCCCCCCAGTTCCACTCCCTGCCCAGGGCAGGGACACCTCCCACCAGACCAGGTGATACACATTTGATGCAGAAGGTATTAAAGGTCATTGCATTAAGCTGGGAGATACAGGTCAGATCAGATAATGGAAAAAAAAACCCAAAACCACCAAAGCCCAAACCACCGAAACAATATTCCTTCCTGGTTTGAATTTGTGGTGGTTTCATGTATCCAGAGCTGCTGAGCAGCACATTTCAGCTTTCACCCATGGAGCAGCTGCCAGCTCCTGTTTCCACAACTCTTTTGTTCCCGTTTTTGCTCCCTGGTTTCAGACAGAGCTGGAAATCGGTGTCTGACAGTGCCCGAGGAGACGCTGCAGCTCACAGACACGATGAGCTCCAACCACAGCTGCCTCTCGTGAGTATCACAAGTGCTGGTGACCCAGTGGGGAAATCAGGCTGCCCTCGTGGTATTTTAGCTTTATTTGCAGAGGCTTTTGTGGCACTGAATCCAATTAAGCAGGTCTAAGCAGAAAGGTGGGATTCACCATTACTCCCACACGGCTAATAACGAGCCTCTTCTCATTGTGAAAGGGGAGTACAGTGACCTGCAAGTCACAAAGGGATGGTACAAACCTCCAGCCATAAAAACCCAAAGGAAGAAAACACAAAAATAGACTTGGATGCATCAACCACTTCCCCAGTTTTACGATTTCCAACAAACTTTATTCAAAGCAAGGAAGAGAAAATGAATGGCGAGCCATTCTGTTGGAGGTACATGCATAGCTGTGTGGTGCAGAGGTTCACCTTTACTGTACATACCTTTAAATATAATAAACGGGCTATAATAACCTTTATAAAAGAGTCTGTCATAGGCAACTGGCCTTCAAATGAGCCTTGTTATCGGTTATAAGACTTACACTTGGGTCTTGAAAAACTGTATAAATAATCTTTAAAAAACAAGCCTAACAGAAAGAGTGCAGCCCCCCCCGGTATGCCTGCAGTGGCTGGGGGTCCCGGGAGCCACCAACCCCCACCTGTCCTGCCCACGGGGACTGTCCCCCCAGCTGGGACCGATGGCCACGGCAGGAGCGGAGATCTCTGTGGTGTGATCTGTCTGGGGGACACTGCGAACGCGAGGTGTAACTCACTGTATGAAAAACACAGTGGGAAGGGCTTATCGGTTATGAGTCCTTGGACTGGGAAAGGGCAGTGGATGCTACTAGAAAGGAGCGTATTCCAGCCAAAATGCACCTTCATTCCCGCCCTGGCCAGCGGCTGGGCTGAGCGCGGGGACGGCTCGGTGCCCACATGCACGAGGGAAGGGCTTTCTTAGGAGCTACTGGAGAAGGAGACTGGGAGAAATGGAGATGGGAGCTCTACCTCTCGGGATGGGGGGGGTTTCCTCTATTTTCTACCAAGGAGAAGGGGCTGGGGCAGCTGAGGAACACTGGATGTTCATCCTGAGCGTGAGGGCGACCCACCATCCCCTTCCTGGCTGCCCCCGGCGGTGGTGGCAGCGAGGACAACCATGCCAGTGGTGCCGTCAGGACAGGGAGGTGATGTTGGACCTGCCCCCCGGCGGGGCCATGATCTTCTGAGCCGTGCGCCGGGCAATGTGGTCGTCTGCCTGTGAGCCTGGGGGAGAGGAAAGGCATGGGGGGTGCTGTCAGCACCGTGTGGGGGTCCCACCACTCTAAATGCACAAATCATAACAAGTTCCCCTTGTGGGAAATACTAATGCTTTCATTATATATCATTTTGGACACTATATTATCATAGTACAACTTGGAATGGCTTTATTTGCCTGAATGTATTTATTTTTTATTGCTTCTTTCTGGAAAACATTGTAAACGGCTTTGCTATAAATAAACAGTTTTTGTATAAATGTTCAAGGTCCCACTTGTTATTATTAAACAATATATCATAGAATCACAGAATGGTTTGGGTTGGAAGGGACCTTAAACCCCTCCCCGGTGCCACCCCCTGCCCTGGGCAGGGACACCTCCCACCAGACCAGGTTGCTCCAAGCCCCCTCCAACCTGCCCTTGAACCCCTCCAGGGATGGGGCAGCCACAGCTTCTCTGGCCAACCTGGGCCAGGCTCTCACCACCCTCAGCAAGAGCAAGACTTGCTTTTTACTGAGCAAAAATTAATTTTCTGTTCCTCAGCCTGGCCCTGCTGCTCACACTCACCCAGGACTGTGTGATGCCCGTGCAAGCCAGCCCCCGCCCCCCGCAGCCCCCGATTTTCAGGGTCCCCAGCCCTACCAGACAAGCTGAACCCCGACTGATGGAGGTTGCGCACGGGGGGAGCCTGGGCTTTGCCGGCACAGGGGGCCATCCGGGACGCCGCGGTGGGGGCTTTGGCGCTCGCCAGGACCTCCTGGACAGGCCCGTCGTAGAGCCCCCGGGGGACACCGTGGACCTCGGCCAGCTGGTGGAAGGAAGCAGAGGCAAAAGGCACAAATTTAAGCAAAGGTGAACAAGAACCAGACCAAATCTACAAATAATGACTTTTTGTCCTTCTGTTTGTGCTCAACCCCTTACTGAGGGTTTCTGGGGAGGCTGCACCCCCAAAAGAGACCAGACACCCCCCCAGGCAGAGGGCAACCCATGCAGCTCTTCCCACCCTCAGCACCAGGCAGAGGGTGCTCCTGGACCCCTCGGGAATGGAGTGCTGCACCCCCCACAAAGGTCCTGTCCCCTGGAAAAAGGGGCTCTCAGAGACGGCCAGGGGGTGCCCAGCGTGTAGGGGTTCTGTGCTCCCTGCGGGCAACAACCCAGGGGCACATCCCCAGCCCATGTCACCCGCTGTGACCATCACGTCCTCCTGCAGGGAGGGTGAGCTCAGCTGTGGGCTCTCAGGGCTGCCAAAGCCTGACGGCTTCATTAGCAGTGTTTCATCACTGATTCACTTCAGCCTGTTTCTCCTCCCAGGCGAAGCAGTGACAGCCCTTGGACAATCACAGGGTCAGAAGAGACTTGTTTTGAGGATGAAAAGTGCTGGGTTTCAAATTAAAAAGGCACAGGCTGATAGGTTATCAAGACATATATATCATTTTCTGTAGAAATGTTTCTCTTGCATGACCTTTGTCTTCCTCCTGCTGAGTATCTGGTAAAGCAAACACCCTGCTCAGTGTTTTCCAGCGCTGTGATTGACCCCAGCTTTGTCAGAAGCTCTGGTTAGATGACGGATGGAGATGTGGCACGGGCAGCCCCGGGTCGTTAGCAGAGCGCCCAATGTGCCTGCCGGAACGCATTAACTGAACAAACCCTCCATTTCTGCTCTGCCCTCATCTGCAGCACCCAGTGGAAATGCCTGCAGGCTCACAAGGCACAGGGCAGAGCTGTGAAGCAGCTGTGAGCACACTGCAGGGTTTGTCTCACTGCATTTCCAGTCACTGCCCAAGCTACACCCATCAGTCTTTGGGAGACGCAGAGCAGACTCTGGGAATGCAGGAACATGAACATTTCTAGTAGAGGTAGGAGAAGAATTCCTCCCGTCTACCTCAGTGCAAAACAAACCAACCCAGATTTGCTAGAAGTCATTTTTGCTTTATAACTTTATCATATGCAAATAATACCAATAATATTAGTATTATTAGTTATAATACTAAAGTAGGCATTATTGATTAACGTGCCAAGCCACACGCCAAAGCGGTTACCTGACAACATTACAAATTTCCAAGGCCTAAGAAGAAATAATAATATTCTTGTTTCTGTTTCCTATTGCATCAGGAAGCTTACAGTAACAGCGCCTGCAACACAGTAACACAAAGAGATTGCAACAAAAATAAGGGATCACTGCAAATAAAATGCTCCTTACCCTGTTTCTTGCCTTTATCCTTTTATAAACAAAATCAGGGAACGTCTTTCGAGGAATGAAGCGACCCGACCCCTGGGTGACAAAGAGATTTCCATCTTCGAGAACAACTCTTCCTTGGCTTATGACCATGGTGGGAACCCCGTGGCACTCTGTGCCTTCAAATATGTTGTACTCCACATTCTGGGAAGAACAAACCAGGATACTCAGCATGGCTCAGGCTGACAAGGAGAAGGTGAAGGTTTACCCAACGACACACACAACCCGTGTCTGCACAGTGCTCCTCGTTGTACTTAAATAACCCTCCACATTTCAAATAAGAAGGTTCTTCTAATTGGATGAACTAAAGAAAACTGCTGTGGAGGAACTAGATCCTCAAAACACTCTGCAACTCAGTTATAATCCTACCTACGCCCCCAATTCTCCAGCGTTGCAGTGAGCAAAAGGTATTTTAAGAAGGAAATGAAAGGTCCTTCATCACTTTATCCTCATGAACACTCCTCCCCTGCTGAATGATCTTTCTCATCTGAAGAAATACATTGCTTTACTGCTCTCTTCTGACTCTAAAACCAGCTCAAGAAAATAATTGGTAAATATTTTACCAGGTTGTGGGTTTTTGCTGAGATGATTTTAGTAGCCTTGGGGTTCCACAAAACCAGGTCTGCGTCAGCGCCCACGGCGACGCGCCCCTTCCTGGGGTAGCAGTTGAAGATCTTGGCAGCGTTGGTACTGGTCACTGCTACGAAATCATTCTCATCCATCTTCCCGGGGACCTGGGAAAGAGACGGGGAGAAGGACCATTCCCAGAGACCCCCCCCAGCCGTGGGCAGCAGCCCCCTTCCCGTGGTCAGACCCTGCCTGAAGATCCACACTACGATGGGGCTGCAATTACGGGAAAAAGGGAGATGTGGGGGCTGAGCCTTGTCCCTGTCAGCTAAATAATGCAACAGATGTTTTTGTTTCCCCTAGACTCTGTGAAATTGAAGGTCTCTGAAAAACAAGACCCGTACTGGTAGGCTCTGACCCGCTGCACAGGAGCCTCAAGCTCACCAAAGACAGTTAAGGATCCTTCAATGACCAAAGACTGGAACTGAGTCTAAACAGTGCCATGGCCACCAAGGGAGAGAAGACCTGTCCCCATCCGCCTCCCCGGGGCTCCTGCAAGGACCAGGGCAGAGGAGCACCACGTGCTACCCTCAGGAAACTGTGCTGGAGAGACTTTCTCCTGTTCCTGTGAGTTAGAGCAGGGGGACGATCCCCGTACTGAAGCCTTTGAAGACACTCTGAAGGCATTCGAGTGTCACATCTTCTCTCATTAGCAAGCTCCTCTGAAGTGACAGTCTAGACAATGTCACACCTCCTGGCTCATTTGCATTAACGAAGACACTGACATCACCTGGCACAAGCACCGCTCCCATGCACCCTCACCCACAGCTTCGCAAGGACCCGGTGTGATGGTGGTACCTACCACGCACTTTTCCCAGATGATGGACATCCGCTCTTCGATGCCATTGGTTCCCTCGGGGATGAGGGTGAAATTGTCCTTCCCCACCGCCTTCTGCGCTGTGGTGAAGGTGCAGTGAGCGCTGCCGGTGACCTGCAGGTCCCCGCTGGGCAAAGGGCAGCAGAGGAGGTCAGAGGAGGCACTGCCACCCTCCCCAGCACTGCCACCCTCCCGGCACTGCCACCACCTCCCCGGCACTGCCACCGCTCCTCTCGGCAGCCAAAAGCCACCCATGCCCGGAGGGCTGCCTGGGACACTACTAACTTGGGAACCCTGTGCTCGGTCTGTTTGGTACAGGTTGGTTTCACCAACACAAACTGTAAAGGCAGGTGAATTGCCATCCGTAAATGCCAGTAAAAGTCAAGTTAAAAGGCAATTTTTACAGGTACACAGAGGGACCTCACTCTACTGATTTATATGGGAACCGAGCACTGGAACCAGCTCAGGGATGTAAACAGCAGCCTCACAAGCACTAGGTATATTCTCCTATAAACTGGACATTATTTTTACTGTTTAATCTTTGCACCTTCCTTTTGAACCTGGGATTATTTTAGGTAATAATTCTCCAAGCAAAGTTGCTTTTAAAGCAAGGATATGGTTAACTGCTTGGGATAAACCCCAAGGTTAGGTGCCATCACACACCACGGGAGGAACTGTGTCCAGGCTGGAGGGAGGGCAGGGAGAGAACCCAGCGTGTGCAGCCTGAGGAGCCCCCGGGCTCGTGCAAAGCTGCGCTAGACTGAGCACACCTCTATTTTATTGCCTCTTTTTAGACAATATCAAATGTACTGAGATATAAATAGCAACTGTATTGAGATCTGCCCTAAATGCTCACATCTCACACATTTCAAAGTTTTGCCAATGCCCAACGTTGGTTCTGATAAAAATCCTTCTTTTTGCTTTAGTGCCAGGGCAGCGCCGGAGGCTCTCCTGGGACACAGCGTGGCAGCGGTCACCGTCCCCCGAGCTGGGGTGTCCCGGCCACCCCACAGGACACTGTGCCTTCCCCCCTCTGCTCCTGGGGAAATCTAGGGGGGCCGTGCCAGGGAGGTGAGGGGCTGCCCCCCAGGTCCAGCCCCACTCTGCAGGCGATGCCGGGGCTGGACACGGCACCCAAAGGGATGCGTGCGGGATGCAGACAGGAGGGATGCACTCAGGGGTCTGTCCCAGCAGGAACTCACCAGGACAGGAGGGAGGTGAGATGATCCGGCGTGGAGGGGTCCGGGCTGATGGGGGGGGACGTGACGAAGGCGGCAGCTTTGGCCCAGTTTTTACTCCAGTAGTGGGAGCCGTCGGTGCCCAGGCTGGCGGTGATGGGCTCACCGTACACCACGGTGCCTGCGGGGAGTCAGGGGTGAGGGCACACGCGTCTGCGGGTCCTGCAGCCTCCTCACACTGGGGTGCAGCACAGCCTCCCTCGTCCTCAGTGTGCTCGCTATTTCAGCTTTTTAAACTCACATTAATCTCCCAGATTATCTCATACCATGGGAAATGCTCTCAGAACAAGTCTGGAATCCCTCTGGTTTCTCCTTAGACCAAACATACATCCCTATCTACAAACCATCTCGCCTTCCTCTCCCTCAAAGCAGTGTCTTGCTGGCAGAGTCATGGGCTGGGGCAGAGGTGGCTGTGGACCCCCTGTCCCTCAGGGGACTCCCACCCTGCTCCCTGCAGGATTGCTCCCAGCTCTTCCCCATCTAATCCCAGTTTGCAGTCAGAGTTTGCTCCAGATCTGCTCTTCATTTAGTTCATGACAAATGACTGTATGTAAATTATTTAATTTTTTTCACCTGTGTCTACTGAGACTCAGGTGTCAAAGTTTCAAGCACATTTCCTCAAATCATTCCAGCTCAGAGCAATTAGCTCTGGCAACACTCTGCAGAGAAAAGCCAACACCAAATTTTAGCACCCACAGAACATGAGATAACTTGGGTGATAACGAGTTCTTAAACCTTGCAGCTAGAATGATATTTCTGGACATATTTAAATGGGCTCAATTAACATGCAGACACAAAACAGCACGTTACCTTTCCTCTTTGCTTGAGCCAACACGTCTGCAGCACCTCTGCTCATCACCTTGGTGACGTACAAGGGGCAGTTGGCCTGTTTGGCGATGGTGATGGCGCGGTACACCGCCTCCGCCTCCACCTGCGGACACCACAACTCAGGCAGCAAGGTCCCAGGGGCCCTTGGCTGAGGCCACAGTGGAGGGTGGGACCCCCGGGCAGCTCTGCTGGGGGGCTGGAGACCTTACCTCCTCAGGGCGGCTGAGGACGTGCCCTTCTGGCCCCGTAATCCCGAGTTCCAGCAGCCTCTTCTGCTCCTGGGTGGATGGAGATGAATGAAAGAGGGGTCAGTGACATGGAGGGCCTGTCCGAAGGGGGACAGAACATCTTTTCAGAAGTACCTGGAGACGATGGAAATGCATGAATGGGACTGGGCAACACCAGTCATACCCATCACACTCCGTAAGCCGCTGCAGCAGATGCAAGGACATTACCCAACCCTACGGCCCAGACCTCGCAGGCTTTTAAGGCTCCTGCTCTCAGAGGACAGCTGGTTCTCCATCCTCTGTATTCCTGTTGCAAATGTCCTCTCAGTTTGTCCCCAGGGCTCAACTGTCATCATGCTGGCAGCTTAATGAAATGCTTCTTGAGGTAGGGAACTGCTAGGGGTCAGGTTATGCTTCACAGACAGCTGAGGAAAAGGTTTCTCAGATAAAATCCCAGAGAGGTGGGAATGGACCTTTATCCTGTTTGTCCCAGTAAGCCTAATTGCAGGACTGGGATCCCGTTTTCATCTAAACTCTCCTCCCACACCGGACCGAACACGTGTGACCATACACTAAAAGGACCTGCGAGTCTAATTCCACCTGGTGTCACCTGACTGCAGTATGCATCCAAGATTTTCCTCTCTCATGGTAAAAAACAATGAACAGGCACAAAGTCTGCAATACCAAGGGAGCTCCTGAGAGCTGTTTTGGGAAATAAATACTGCCAAGTGTAATGTATGCTATTTCAAGAGATGCAAACCTCGTTATTTTCTTGAGTACTCAAGACTTCTAAACAAGACAGACAGTGTGATAAAGGCTCACTTAAGGCAGCCAGTCAGCCTTAAGAAGCCCCAAAATTCACTTGTTGAAACCACCAAACTGTCCCTGTAAAGATTTCAGTGACAGAACCCCTGTGCATGCGAGGAATGGGGAGGATCCTGACGATTTCAGGAGCCTCAGACCCTCCTGCCAGCCCTGTCCCCACAGATCCTGGGTACTCAGCTTATGCCGGGGAGCGGGGTGTGGGGACAGGATGTGAGGACACCGGGTCTGCAGCCCCCGGCCACTGTGGGGCACCACGTGAAGGGCAGGGGCCGCTGGCACCGCTCCCCTCCCGCCACAGCCACCCCTCAAAGGCAGCGCTTCCCCTCGAACCAAAATACTCCATTCAACCTTAAATGTCAATGGATGCAAACACTGTACCTCATCGATGATGTCCCCGTTCTCAGCATGCACTTGGGCAATGGCCCCCAGGTCTCGGATAATGCAGAATATTTCATACATCTGCCAAGAAACAGGGGAGTTGCCCAGCATCAGATAAATCACAGCTCCCCCCCGAGCGCGGGCGATCCCTCTCACCGGCGGCGTTACCTGGGCATCGGTGCACTGCAGCTTGTCTTTGTACGCCATGAAAACCAGGAAGGAGTTCACACCTTGAGGAAAAAAAATCAAATGTGCGGTTAATTGTCCTGTGGAGAGCTCTGTCGGGGCTGAGCAGGGGGTGTTTGAACCAGGGGGGTTTGTGCAGGCTGGAGTTGGACTGAGAGCAAAGCAATCTATGGGCTAAACAGGGACTGTCCCCAGAAGAACTGAACCCCAAAGCCTGGAGCCATGAACAACAATTCACCCCGATCTCTGGACGCACAGGAACCAACCAACCAGCCCCCAGCCTGTTCATGACTCGTGCTCCTGTAACTTGCTCCAAATTCACAGAATGAAATGCATCGCTCCAAGCTGATTCCTCCCCCCAGAGGTGGTTTCAATTTATGGTTTATCCCCAACTTCCTTCTGATAAATGTGTTTGAATCAATATATCAGTGCTAAGACTACAAATTGGACTTTTTTAATATCAGAGCACTATTATTTAGTGCACTGTTGTTAACCTAGAGCAGCGGATGTGCAGCGCTTTGCATCCAGCACTGCACAGCCCTCCTTCATTTCTGAGATAAGAGATGGGTGATGAAGCACGGAGTCAAAGCCGGAGAATTGCTCCTGTATTTTATACAGACAGAGGCAACAACGAATCCCCAACTACAGCCAAATTACAAACCAGCTGTATTTCATGGGAATGTGCATATTAAAACATACCCGGTACAAGCTCGGAATAGCTCCACTACTGCAGCCACTCTGCATTTTAATAGGAAATTCACTGCAAATTTCTATGTTAATAGACCAATTAAGCCCTTGCTTGCAAGACTGTAAATTACACTGAAGTCATTTAGCTCTGCATTTGCATATCTGAAAGCAAAATGTAGTTCCAAACATGGAAATAACTATTAATGAAATGCATGAATTCCTGCTGCATGGCCTGGTTTCCAGCAACCCACATCCCGCGGACACTTCAGGCTGTGCAGGAATTATAACGAGATCTCCATGGGAAGCCTAAAGCTTGGTTTCATTCTACAAGCCCAGTTTTCAATGTTTTTATTTAAACACTTTTCTGTACATCGGGCAGCTGACTCAGGGTGCCCAAAACCACTCCTTTAGCTTCCAAAATCCATTTCCATGACTGGGCTGTACATTGCCTGAAGGCGAGAGCAGAGGAATAAGATGCTATAGTGTCCCCCCCATCCACACCTTTCTCTAAGATGGCCAAGGGCAGGTTGTTCCCACCTCAACAGCGAAGGAGCACAGTCCTCTGCACCTGCCCCAGTTACTCCAGGGATGGGGCAGCCACAGCTTCTCTGGGCAACCTGGGCCAGGCTCTCACCACCCTCACAACAAAGTTCTTCCCCGCATCTCAGCTCCATCTCCCCTCTTTCAGTGCCAAACCCTTCCCCCTTGTTCAATAGCTCCTCTCCCTGGCCAAGAGTCCCTCCCCATCTCTCCTGGAGCCCCTTTAGGGACTGGAAGGGGCTCTAAGGTCTCCCCGGAGCCTTCTCTTCCCCAGGCTGAACCCCCCCAGCCCCCCCTCCCAGCAGAGGGGCTCCAGCCCCCCCAGTATCTCTGTGGCCTCCTGTGGCCCCGCTCCAACAGCTCCGTGTCCTTCTGCTGTTGGTGGCCCCAGAGCTGGAGGCAGCACTGGGGGGGCTCTTCCCAGAGCAGAGGGGTAGAACCCCCCCTTGCCCTGCTGCTTTCCATCCCTGGGTAAGAGGAGCAGGGCAGAGCAGTAACAACTCCCCAGGCTTACCCTATGGCGACTTGCCTATGTGCCCGTGCTGCAGTCACCACGGTGTGGGTGGTGCTTGTGGGGTTATTGCCAGATCCCGCTCCTCCTCTCCTTACCCTTGTCCTTCACCAGGGCTTCCAGCTCCTCCTTCAGGCTCTCGTGCCAGCGGGGCACGTCGACGTGCAGGGCGTAGTCGCAGCAGGCCTGGCCGTCGGCGATGCCGCGCCACTGCTCGTAGGCGGCCAGCAGGCCGGTCCCCGCGTCCGGGCAGACGTGGTCAACTGAGGGAACACCACACGGCGTTAGGGGGGGACACACCAGGGGGTACCCGGGGGGTGCCACGGGCACCAACATTCCTGTGCAAGACTCTACTGCTGTGAACAGGAGACACTCGTGATACTAATTCATGTTTACAGCATTGATTAAGGGTGAAGGATAATAAATTGCCCAGATAAAATGCAACAAATGGCACAAAGGAACTGGAAGTTACAGCTGTTACTGTGCTTTTCCTCACACAGCTGGGCCAGCACAGAACCCGAGAGTGGCTGTTGGCCACAGCGTGTCCTTGCACACTTCTGCACACCCCTGCGGGCACTCCCCCGGGCAGCCAGTCACCCACCGATGCCTATGTGCCCGTGCTGCAGTCACCACGGTGTGGGTGGTGCTTGTGGGGTTATTGCCAGATCCCGCTCCTCCTCTCCTTACCCTTGTCCTTCACCAGGGCTTCCAGCTCCTCCTTCAGGCTCTCGTGCCAGCGGGGCACGTCGACGTGCAGGGCGTAGTCGCAGCAGGCCTGGCCGTCGGCGATGCCGCGCCACTGCTCGTAGGCAGCCAGCAGGCCGGTCCCCGCGTCCGGGCAGACGTGGTCAACTGAGGGAACACCACACGGCGTTAGGGGGGGACACACCAGGGGGTACCCGGGGGGTGCCACGGGCACCAACATTCCTGTGCAAGACTCTACTGCTGTGAACAGGAGACACTCGTGATACTAATTCATGTTTACAGCATTGATTAAGGGTGAAGGATAATAAATTGCCCAGATAAAATGCAACAAATGGCACAAAGGAACTGGAAGTTACAGCTGTTACTGTGCTTTTCCTCACACAGCTGGGCCAGCACAGAACCCGAGAGTGGCTGTTGGCCACAGCGTGTCCTTGCACACTTCTGCACACCCCTGCGGGCACTCCCCCGGGCAGCCAGTCACCCACCAGTCACCCACCGGTCACCCACCAGTCACCCACCAGTCACCCACCGGTCACCCACCGCCCACCAGCTCCTGCTCCTGCTCCGACAGCATGGGCCAGGAGCTTGGGACCGCGCTGCACCGGGACGCGCTGAGGCTGGTCCTTCAGTGGGACCAGAGGGGAGCACACACCACGGTGTGCCTTGGGACCAGTGCAAGAACAAAACAGAAATCAAAATTACTTTAACACAAAAACGGAACCTGTGCTCACCAGGAGCTGAAAAACTCCTAGAAAAATGCATTTGCAAAACTATTAAAAACATATTAAGAGGTATTTAAAGTTTTCTATTTTACTCTCTTGTGAGGTGAAGCAGGAGCAACTATATATTTTTAATATACATGTGTAGCAACAGAAGGAGGTTCTGAAAGGTACCTAATGCATTTTAATTAGCTTTGTAATGCTTTGATTTCTGCAGTAAAAATTAACATTTCTCTGCTATGAGGGTAAATAACCTCCACAACGATCAAAGGCCCAGGGTATTTCACTAAACAATGTTCTACTTTAGAAATCCATTCGAACGCTGCTCCATCTTACTGATCATGGTGGTCCCTCCAGCCAGGGCTGCCTTCGTGCCTTGGAAGAAGCCATCAGCAGAGGTCATGCCCATGACGGGCACCTGCAGTCTGGTGTGGACGTCTATCCCCCCCGGCATCACCATCTGCCCGTAGGCATCAATTGTCCTCACGCCCCCTGGAACAATCAGGTTTTCTCCAATCTGTCTGAAAATGATATTGAGGTCTGTTAACTGGCAACAGCTTTTAAGTGAGGGTGAAAAGCAACTAATTCTAAGCACCGCGGGCGGGTGCGCACCCACGGGCACCCCCTGGGAGAAGCTGCCCATGGGGAGCTGGGTCGGGTGTGGGATGGAGCTGGGGTCCCACTGCAGCTCCCATCCCACCCCTCCCACAGCACCCACTGTGGGACACATCGGGGCACCCCCCGAGGGACCCCGCGCAGGAGAGAGGAGCCGCTGCCGTCTCCCTGCCGGACCCTGTGCGCGGCCGGTGCCTGCGCAGCGCCCAACGGGCTCCTCCACAGGAAGACAAGGAGCCAGCACAGTGTGTGTGTGTGTGTGTGTGTGCTTCCAGCTGCTGCCACGTGCTCCTCTAGTGCCTCCTCCACGCTATTCTAAAAGGCTGTCCTCGTTTTTCAAAACCAAAATACATTTCCAAGAGAAAAAATGACAGAAAGGAACCTTCTTCAAATTCCAAGGCACTGTATGGTGCCTGGAAATTACGTTACCAAATGTAAATTTTTAACTTACTTTATTAAACCGTCTTCCACATAAACGTCTGCATAAAATGACTGATCATCGTTGACAATTTTTCCTCCTTTGATTAAAAGCCGATCACTCTAATGGGAGAAAACCACACTTTTTAAAAAACATTACTTCATTTAGGTGCTACTTTACTCATTATGAGCTTTCATTAAGTCCAGGAGCTAATATTTGCCCTTTGATCAAACAAGTTCAGTTGAACATCCAAACCATTTGACACCAAAACCTAGCTGTGTTCTGCAAAGGGAACCATATAAAATTGTCATTTGGGAGGAACCCGGGTCTCCTACGATGCACAAACAAACCCGTGGCAGAGCCCTGGGTACCAGCCCCCCATCCCGGGGCTCTGTGCGCGCAGCTCCGAGCGGAGCTGGACAAAGGGAGCGTGTGGGGGGCACATCACCCCCCCGATGGCTCACCAAGAGCCCCTCCAGAGCAGGTTTAGGGACTGACCCAAGTTCTCGGCAGCTTTAAAAGGTTTGCAAGATGAGATCCTGCAGCTCGGCCACGTTCCTGCCTCCTCCACCACCTCCAGGTACCGAGACTTTAAAGTGCATCTTATTAACCCGGTAATTTATTGACATTTGTTAGTTTTCACAGTCTTGTCTCAGGCAGATAATGCCTCAAGGACTTTCCTCACTTCAAAGCAAGACACTGGCACAGTTGTCAGATTTGCAGAATCTTTAACCAGAAAAATTAGAAAGCAGCGGCATTTATGTAAATGTGGAACCGCAGCCTAATTTAAGAGGATTCCTTTCCTGCTCTCTGGTGGTGCTGGAAAAAGTATTACCAAGGCTAAAACGGGCAACACAAAGAGCACAGACCTCGCACAAAACCAACGGCGGGACGGCAGGGCACGGGGCAGGGCACGAGGCAGGGCACGGGGCAGGACATGGGGCAGGGCACGGGGCAGGACAGCCCGGGGGGGTTCAACGTGTGCTGGTGCCAAAGAGCTGGAAAACGTTAGGGGCCTTGTTCTAAAGAGATCACTGGCACGTGAAAAAACAACCCCCAAAAACAAGTATTAAAGAATTGCACTGTGTTTTTTAAAGTATTGAGGGGTTTAATGCCCCTTTGTTGTTCTCCCTTGTCCCATAAAATCAATCCAAAGAAGCTTCTGTGTCAGCCGCCCCATGGGAGAGCCCCACGGCCCCTCCCCGCGTGGGGCCCGTCTTCACCCCGTCCTCATCCCTGTCCTCACACCATCCTCATCCTCACCCCATCCCCATCCCTACCCTCATTCTCGCTCCATCCTCATCCCATCCTCATCCTCACCCCATCCCCATCCCTACCCTCATTCTCGCTCCATCCTCATCCCATCCTCATCCTCACCCCATCCCCATCCCGGCGGTTCCACCCCAGCCCCAGTCCCGCTCGCTCCCGCCCCGGGTAACGCCGCTCGGCACCGGCTCCCGCCGCGCCCGGAGCCACCGGGATGTTTTCAAGGAAACTCCGCCGTGAGGCAGCAAAACGGGGGGAAAACCCAGCACCGCCGTCCGGGGCTCCCTCCGCCTCCCGCCGGGAAGCGCCGGCACCGGGCA